TAGTCTTAATCAATTTCTTAGTAAAAAAAAAGGTAAAAAAGAAAAACCAAACAAAACAAAACAAATCAACAATAAAAAGCAAAAAAATTCACATACATTTATCTTACTATGCCTCTTATGTTTTATTTTATATATTGCTTTCAATAAATTAGGATATATTTTGCACACAATGGCACGATGCATCTCATACATGAGCTCTATACCCGGGCTCCGTCCTTTATAGGAGGAAGTAAAGTACCTATGCTCTCGTGAGGTGATAACCTCCGCAATGGCAAGCGAAATACTTTCACTCGAATTGAACCCTTTCCGTGAGGATCGGGGTGCCTTACTAGTCCAATATGGACGACAGTGAGGAACAATTTGGGAACCTTTAGACCCTGTCAATCCAAACCCAGCATATAATAAGCCTAGGAAACCAACCTTATGTAGAGCCCCGTCCACCTTCTCTTAGAAAGTACCTAAGAATAAAAGTTGTGTGTAATACGAAACAAAAAAAAAATCTCAAAAACATTAAAAAAACAAAAAAAACAAAAAAATGTTTTTTTTCAAATCACACTAACTCAATTTTGCATTAATCATATCATACAGTTTTGCATCGAGATATTTGCTCAAGGACACATTTCTCCTAAGAAGTTTCATGGATCCCATAGAACTACAGATTTGCTCATCCTCGGTTAATGTGCCATGTGAGTCGTATAATGAAGTACATGTCTGGTCAAAAGAGGCTCAACAAAAGAATGGAGATTGTTTGCCTACCAGTTATGTGTCTGAGTTACCCGAGAAAGTGCATTTAGATCTCACACAGAATGATTTAAAAGAGTTAGCTGCTATCTGGGGTCAATTAAGTGAGGAAAGAAAAGAAAGCTTTTGCAAAAAGTATGGGCAGATTGCATCCCTCATTTCAATAGTGATTGATGAACAGCTGGTCAAAGCAACTATACAGTTTTGGGATCCATCATATAGATGTTTCACCTTTAATCAGGAAGATTTGGTGCCAACTATCGAGGAGTATTCGATTTTGCTCGGGATAGAACTACAATGTCCGGATAAGGTGTTTACTCGAAAGCCAAAATCAGGTTACCGTAAAAAGTTAGCCAAGCTTATGGGGGTTAAGGTAGAAACCATTGATTCTTTTGTGAAGTCTAAAGGTGAACATCTCGGCATTCGTTGGGACTTTCTCCGAAACTTCATTCAGGAGCATTTGGATAACGATCAAGGTATGGATGTGTTTGCTCTAGCATTGTATGGCATGATAATCTTTCCAAAGACTTTGGGTTATATTGAGATAACTGTGGTAGACTTTTTCGAGCAAATCAAAACCCAGGCAATTAATCCTGCTCCAGCAGTCCTAGCCGAAACTATCAGATCATTGAATTTCTGTCGACGAAAGGGGAAAGGACGATTCATAGGATGTGCATCTCTATTGTATATATGGGTCAGAAGTCATTTCAAATGTGGGAAGAGTGCATTTTCAAAACCATATCTTCGAAACAAGGCACCAATCGAAGAGTTTTGTAAAAGCCAATGGCCGACGTTAAAGACTAAGGAAGAATGGGTCCTTTTCTTGCGAAAGCTTACTGGGGATAAAATTGAATGGATGGCGCCTTGGATGTCTCGTGTGCCCTTGTTGTATCGTGGAGGAAATGAGCCATGGATTCCGTTATTAGGGCTATGGGGTGTTGTAAGCTACGCTCCATTGATGGTACTTAGGCAATTTGGTGCGAAACAGTTTGTTCCTGCTACTCATGGCCTGGTCCAAGTAGAATTCATTTACGGAGAATCGAATCCATCAAGAATCCCAGAGCAGTTGATCCAAGCATGGAAGAGAACACAAAGAATGAGGTTAGGGCCTCTCATCGACAAAGTCACTTTTGATTACCAGATTTGGAAAGCAATGCGCCTTAGAGATATAGTACTCCCTCCAGATGATAGCTCATATCAATTGGTTAATCTTTCAGAAGAAGTGCAATTATCAGAAGTTGAGCTTATCAAGAAAGAATTAGAAGCTGAAAAAGAAGAAATAAGAAGGGAGAATTTGAGACTTCGCGAGAAGGTAGGGCAATTGAAATATGAAGCGGAGATACAAGGGAGCAGATTAGAAAAAGTCATAAAAGAGCGGGATCAGGCTAATAGTGATTTGAAAAATCTACACCAAGAAAATAAGAGGCTACGAGTTCAATTCAAAACTGAAAAAGTTACCAAGTCTTACCTTAGTCGACAACGAGAAATGGATGAACTCCGAGAGGGAATAAACCAATGGAAGGGCAAAGCTCAAGAAAAGCAAGAGGAGACCACCAGAATTTTTCAAGAATGTCAGAATTGGAAGGGATTATACTCTACAACTTCAGCAAGATTGGTGGAATGCCAAAATGAAAAGGAAAGGTTGAAAGTCATGCTTGCAAAAGAGAGAAGAAAGCATTTTGAAGTACTGAATGAAAAAGAATCACTTCACCAGGTGATCCAAGGGTTAGAGATAGAACTACAAGACCACAAGAGCCATATTTCAGTAATGATAGATGAGTGGCATAGAAGGGAAAAAGATTGGATCTTTACATGTGATTCAGAGAGGGATGCCCACATGAGATGGAAGGCAGAAAGCCTAGGGAGGCAACAGTACATAGATCACTTGACTAATCAAGTTTGCAAGGCAGTGAAGAAAGCATGGGAGATGGTTGAAAAGGTAGAAGCATTAAGAAAAGAAGTCAATCCCATAGGAGAATATGGACAGCGCCTAGTGAACTTTCTAGATGAGACGAAAGACCATTATGCGCAAGTCAAACGCTTTTATGGATATAACTCTAGGATGTTAAAACCTATGTAATAACAGTTGTATGGGATCAATAAAAATTTCTAATGTTGAAGTTCGTCCAAAAGCAAATATCTCCCACTTGCATTCATGCATCATATGCATCATTTTTCAACACATAAACATTCTAATTTTTTTTTTTCTCAAAACAAAAACTTTGTGGTAATAAAGGTTCAAGAATAGCTCGCCCATCAAAAATTTCGGTCCAACCTACTCGTCATTCATACAATACCAGGACACAGACAAGAATCATGGAGCAAGAACAAGCCAGTAGATTTGAGAGAATTGAAAAAGGAGCAATAACATGTGATGATCCCATAAAATTCGTACATTCAAAATTGATTAATACCCAAAAAGGATGATCATCAATAAGATTTGAACAAAAAATCACAAACAAACAAATCAATTGAGTGCTACTCCAATAATTTCCCAAGATCTCTATGGTATACCAAATTTTTCCTAAACTATATATATACATATATTTTGGAATTAAGACTAAATGTGTCACCCTACTATCGCATCCATGAGGAACTTTATATATATATATATATATATATATATATATAAGAGGTTGTAATTTGAAGAAAAGAAAAAAATTGCATGCATTGAAATTTAAATATTAAATTTGTTAAATGTTACCTATTAAGGATGATTACATAAATCAATTGAATTAAGTTTCAGATTGATTCATGACAAATTTTGTTTTTATACTTTGATTTTTTTGAATTGTGTTATTATACTTTCAATTTTTTGTTGATTTTTTAATACAAAACAACATAATTAACAGAAAATTATTATTTACATTAACAAAATCCATGAAATATTTAAATTTCATTATTTTTATCTAAAAATTAACAAAACTTTTCTTCTTTCACTTGATGTCACTGCAAATTCATATGAGCATTAAAACAAGCTTGCTAAACATAGTAAAACAGCAACAACTCATGCAATAAATGGAATTGATGAATGCAATACGTGTTAGGTAATATTTCACCGGTTTTCAAAGTTGAATGCCTTGCATTAATGGGTAGTAGATTGGTTTAATTTCTACTGCTATTTCTTAACCCCCCCCCCCCCCCCAAAAAAAAAAAAAAAAAAACAATTTAATGTGTATCTTTGCAATTTCTTGTTGAACAAACATTGGAGAGAGTAACCAGCAAGGAATAAAGAAGAAAAAATAGTATGGAAACCCTACGAAACAGGAAACTGCTTGGCCTTCACAATTATTTAGTGTCAAAAGAAAAAGATAAAATTAGGCTACCAAACTAAATAAATGGCAAATTCATATGCATTTATAGAATAGAATGAAACAAGTTTGAAAGTAGGCTTCCTTCATCGAAGCCTGAAAAAAGGTTGAGAAAATGAAACTTAAAATATTGGTGAACAAAAGTCAAATTAAGTTACGGCTGAAAAATTAAAGAACATTGCAAACCATACACTTCTCCATGTGAAAAAGTGTATTATTCAGGCCTTTTTCAACTAATAATTCTCAGTTTCCCATTGATTATGTGCATCAGATCATCTATTTCAGGTGTTGGTCAAAAGCACACCAACAATTCATATATATATATATATATATATATTTGATACATCAAAAACGATATATATATTTTTCTTAGATTTTGTCAAATGATCATATATAATTTTTTTTTAAATTTTAAATCATATTACTTTCATATCTATGTTTATATAATTTTCGTATCATTTTTAAAATTAACAAATCTAGTCAAAAAATACTAAAAGCGTTGCATATGTGTTATTAATTTTTTTCATACAAACATTTAATCCAATTAGATTAGGATTCTAGTCTTCCTTAAATTAAAAAGAAAAAGTCATTAGTTTTCATCAAATGTTCACTACCTGCTGTTTTAGATTATGCAAAAAAGAACAGCAAAATGTCCTTCAACGAAAGTGATACAAACAAATTTAAAATTATAGTTTATGTTGGAATTTGTTTACCTACTTGTATCCAAAACAAAAGCCATGCAAAAACCAAGCAAGAAATATGTACTGAAAGCCAAAAGCCATGAAGGAAAAAAACATAGCAACAGTTGAAACACAATCTTACCATTAGTTCGAAAAGAATGGAAATTAATTAAAAAATTATAAATTGTGATTTATTTTATAACAACTAATGAAAGAAATAAAGATTAATGAATGGGAAATTAATTATTTTCCATTTAATATATATGCAACAGTTTTACACCAGAATCTGATCAACTCAGCTCTATCAACAATCAAATTACAAAGCCAATTGAAGAAATTAAGCTTAAAAACAAAAAGAAACAGACAAATTACATCATCCTTTCCCTGCCAAATTCAGTTCTTACACCAACCACAAGCTTAATTCCTCACCTGTTTGGGTTTTTTTTTTTTTTTCTTCATGTTCTCTTGTTTTTGCTTCCCAATAACAAAGAGAAATAAAACAAAATCCTGAACAAGAATCCCCAAGCCACAGTAATCCACAAGCAATTCCATTTGCTCAAATCTGTTATCCCTTCTTGTTTCAAAATATCCGACCCTGTAGTCAAACATGTTGAGCTGGTAATCCTCATCCCCAATGTATTGCTCATTGCCTGCAATAATCTCACTTTCATAGGGGCTGGAACTTCTCTAAGTGGTGAATTGTCAAAAATTTGAGTGCCTCTTACAAAACATTTTGTGGGATTATCAAATTCATTTTGTAAAACTGCTTCATATGGGTATTTGACAAGGGATAAGTAATGGAACCAAATCCAATAGGCTGGGATTCGGTCACGGTTGATAAAAAAGCCGCTAAAGAGTAAGAAATAGGCTAAAATGGCGACGACGATTGTGTAACCCAACATCACATGTGGAACGACACCGGATAGAAATGTGACGAATGAACTTCCGGACCAAAATGAAGCAAACATGATCAACAAATAGAATAAGAATCCTGAAAATCCACCATCAAGGCCTACGGCCCAAAATGTCGTCGCCGCGAAAGCAACTGATAAGCAAATCAGCCCTGGTAAAACTACCAACGCATTTGATATAACATAAGATAATCTCCTGTAAGCGTTGTAAGCAGTTTCTCTCATGAAAATGTACCTTTCTTGGAGAAAAACTGGCAGAGCGTCGGCACAAGTGTAAAACGTCGTTGACATTGCAAAAGCGAAAAACCCTAGTCTTTCTTGTGCCCCTTTTGGTGAATTATCAAGCTGCCAAAATACCGTTGCTAAAATGAACCCCGTTACTAAAACTGCTCCCAAACGGATGCCAAATAACTCCGGCATTCGCCTTGAGTTCAAGATCGACCTGTTGGACAACACCACCATTTCTTTCCAAAAAGGATTTGCAAATCTTGGAACCAAGGAAGTTGAACTGACATCATTGGTTGCACCTGGGACAAGTTTACCTCTAGAAATACTGGCGCTAATTGCTTCTTTTAGGGACAAACCAAGCTGGTCTGGCTCAGGGTCTCTTGTATGCTTCATGCTTTGCCATGACTTGTTGAATTCGACCAAACTTTTTGTTCCTCCCGGAGATCCTTCGAGTTCCCGGATTAAGTCGAGAGCAAACTCAGTTTTGTTCTCATTCTCCGGTATCGGATGCCCGAACTCGGAGAAATATAGCGGCAGGTTTGTCGGTGAACCACTATAAACAGTTTGTCCACGGGACAAAAATATCAATCTGTCAAGCAATCCAAGAATTCTATAACTTGGTTGATGAATTGACATTATAACAATGCTTCCACTCTGAGCTATCCTCTGTAAAACCTTCACCACCATGAAAGCACTGGTCGAATCAAGCCCTGATGTAGGCTCATCCAAGAACAGAATAATGGGGTCATGAATTATATCAATTCCGATTGATACACGACGACGCTCTCCACCAGAAACACCACGATGACCTTCATCACCAATAACAGTTTTAGCTGCGTTTCTTAAGCCTAGTTGATCAATCAAAGCTTGAACTCTCGTTTTCTTCTTGGATTTCGACAAAGTACGCGGAAGTCGAAACTCAGCAGCAAACATTAAGGTTTCTTCGACAGTAAGCATTGGAAAAAGCAAATCATCTTGCATAACATAAGCTGAAATCACTTTCAACATCCGCGACTCTAAAATTTCGCCGTTTAAAGTCACGTTCCCTTTCAAACTTCCTTTAGCTATTCTATTAGCTAAAGCATCTATTAGCGTCGATTTCCCCGACCCACTTGCTCCAAGCACGGCGAGTATCTCCCCATCTCGAGCCTCCCCGGAGATATCATCAAGTAAGGTCTTGGTCCTGGTAAATAAACTATCTCCAGCAAGTGGGTTGCGGGCGACGGTGGAAGCGGCGGCTCTTCTATTCCTCCGTCTCAAGAACCCTGGCAGCTCCATCTTGCAGCGAACCTTTACACTATAAGTAAGGTTGTTAAAGGAAAGAACAAATGGCATCGGCCGCCGCTCTGTGGCATCGACGAGAATTTCATGGACCGGAGTTTCGTCGCCGGTGTTTTCTTTCCTTACATCGCCGACATGTTTAAGTAATTGTCCAAGCGTTGGTAAAGATCCAGTGGCGGTTGAGAATTCGCCGGCAATAATCTCCATTGAATGAGGAAAAAACTGGGAAGTATTATTATTATCGGACGATATATTTTCGGCTACAACACGAGACATTGTGGGCTTTTCGTTTTAATTCCTTTTTGCCTGAAAATATCGGCCAAAGGCTACGGTTAGAGCTGTTTTCAAGAGAAGAAGAGAGAAAAAGGGCTCTTGTGGCTTTGGGTAATTTGGGGTTTGGAGAATTCTATAAATATATATATATATATATATATGAATTTGAAAATTAATGTGAAAATAATAAGGGTCAGGTGATTAAATTACTAATATTATTATTGAAAAATTTTATATTTGATGTATTATTATTGTATAAATATTATTTAATGATAATGAATTTTGTAATAATATTTTTTAAAAAGTTAATTTCAACTATATTTTGTTTAAAATTAATTTTTTATGAATATTATTGTGTATATATATAACATAAAATGCATAGAATATAAATTCAAAAAAATATTATCCTTTTTTGGCCTTTGAAAAAATAAAACATATCATCATTAAATAATTTAATAACTTTATGTATTACTATTATTATTATTATTTGCTTGATACTGTTTGTATTGGGAGGTAAGAGAAAGGTCACCTAAATCATCCAATCTGAAATCTAAACGCTTTTCTTTTCTAGGAAGGAGGCGAGTAGAACACGTGGACGGTTGTTATTGATGTTGATACGGCTTTTGAATGTTGGATGATTAAACGTGGCAAAATTTTTTTTTTAGTACAGAGGAATTAGGTTGGGTGTTTATCTACTGTGGCGTAAGCTTTGTACTGTGGCGTAAGCTTTGTCTAGTCCAAGTGGATGGCTAAAGATTAAAAGGTTAAAAGTTAAATAATTCGGCGTCCCCAATATTTGATTCAATAATTATTATAATTTTTTTTAATTCAAATAGTAAGTTTAAATTTATTTAATTTTTTAAATAAAAAATTAAATCATTTTTCATAGATCACGATTTTGAGATAAAAGATGAATTATATAATAAATAATAAAGACAAAAATGTAAGGTTTAAAAAGTATTTTCTTTGCATTTAAGGTTTAAATGTTTGCAGAAAAAAGCTTAGCTCACAAGAGAAAACAAAAGGTGCTTTGAATTTGAAATTGGAAAGCAAACAAGAATGGGTAAGGCTATAAATGAATTAAATTTGGGTAAACTTATATTCATGATTTGTTTATTTATTTTTAAAAAATATTTAGGTTCGATTCTATTCGATAAAAATATTATTCTATTTATTCGAATTCAAGTCGTTTAAATAGTAAAATATTTAAGTTTGGTTTATATTCAATTTAATTACGTTAATGAGTTCGTTCGTAAATATTAAATGAATATATTTATGAATATATATAAACGAATATATTCGTTAATAATAAATTAATCATAATCAAATAAATTTAAATAAATAAATCTTAAATGAATATAAATGAATTTTAAAATAAGATTAGAGTAAAAATAAAAATATAATTTTATTAATATTATTAAAAAACAAACAGCAAATAAACAACAAATGAATATAAATGAACGAGTTTTAAATAATTTTTATGAAATTTATTTATGAATATAAACGAACAAAATAAATTTTTATTCGTATTTAGTTCATTTAATAAATGAATATAAAAATATTATTCAAAATAATTTATTAAATTTAATAAACAAATATAAACAAACAAAAAAGGAATATGTTTACGAATAATTCGTTAAAAGTTTCATTTGTTTACACCCTTAATGATGAGAACTTGAATTATAAATAAATTTTATTTGAGTGAAGCTTTCATGCCTAGATGGCTAGTATTTGTTGAAAGTTTAAACTAATTCATGAGCTATTATCAATCAAAGTTAAGTTTGAGAGTTTAACTCAAACTTCAAAAAAGAACATTAATGCATAAGGATTGAAATTTAATACTAGTTGTTATTGGTTTTTTTATAAAAGATTTCATACTTTAGCAAAGGAGATGGGTTTTAGAGCTAAGATTTGAATTTTAAATTTATTAAATATTAAACTCATATTTAATATTAATTTTTATTGTTAATTAAATATAATATAATTCTCATTTCCCTCATTTAGCTTTTTTATTATTTGGTTTGCAAAAGTATTCTTATCTTCATAAAAAAAAAATCATTAGCCCTAATATATTTATCAAAGCTTTGACAGTTGCAATTTCTTGGTAGTGTTGTTACATGATCAAGTAAGCCTAAAAAGACAAATCCCTACTTCTAAAATTAGTAATAGTAATTAGTAAAATTTACCAAGTAGGTGGGTGATTTCTTGCTTTTATTTTATATATTCTCTTTTGAAAATGTCATTTGATGTTCAGAAATGGCACACTAACCACTCAGCTTAATTAAATGTAGCATGAAAAAGTGTTGCTAAAGTGAAATTACCAAATTATTGCAGGTATTATAATATTTTTCATTAATTTGGCAAAGTCATGTGTACTTCACTTTCTAATATTTGCCAAAAACAAAAATAAAATCAGAATTGTTAGTAAATCAAACTTTTAAAGACTTTGCTTTGATCTAATTTTGTCTCATCTTCACAACTTTATAAGTTTACAAGCCTTTTCAAACCCATAGATATGCACATTTCATTTGTTTTTTTATATTTAAAATTATTTATATAACATTTCACATTTGTTAAAATCATTATGATTTTGTATTTAAATGGTTGATTCATGATTGATGCCAAAAAAAAACCCAATTTTTTTTTTTTTTAAAGTTTAGTAGTATGTGTTAGGACCATGATTTTGGTAATTGGGAAAGAGGAAAGGACAAAACTTGTGGCTTCCAGAAGCAGAAAATTTTAAGAAAATTTAAATATTCATAATAATTTAAGGCAAAACAATTGAACCAAAAAAGAAAGTTTAATTTTCTGATACTCAATCCTTGTCTTCTCAAAAGGGAAATATAAGAGGTTTAAACCAGCAAAATGAAGAAAAAAAGCACAATTTTTTTTAATTTTTTTTTGGGGTTTGAGGATTATTTGGTAGTTAAATGTAGATAAGCCACCTCTTCTTACCAAATATCAAGCTAACTCATACCTATAAGTGAAGGCTGTGAAAATTTTTTTTTATTTTCTTTGAAGCAAAAAAAAAAAAAAAAAAAAAAAAAACAAGAGATAATTGATTCAATTGATAAAAAGGATTTTTTTTATTTTATTATTTGAATTCGAATTTAATAAAAAATTATAAAAAATAATTTATTATAAATTCATTAAATTTGACATAAATAAAATCACTTAAACCAATAAAAAAATGGAATAAAACTTAAAACCCCTCGTCACTAAAAAAAAAAAAAAGGTCGGGGCATAAACAATTGTGAATTTCGCATGGGCATGAGGTATTTGCAGCATTATAAAACAAAATAAAATAAAAAACAAAACAAAAGATTGGGTCATAAACAATTGTGAATATCAGCATGGGCATGAGGTAGTGCAGCGGTATTCTCAACTGTTTTAAATCATTTTTCTGTTTTCATTCATCAGCAAAATTCAAAGGTTGGAAACAGCTGCTGTGTTATCTGTACTTGTCCCCCTGCAATTTTTTTTTTCCTTCTCCAGTTTTCTGTAGAGTGTAGATTCAACTTAAATGCATTCACTTTATAAAAGCCGGTGCCAAATTTGGTCAACTTTGAAAGTTTCTTTTTATTTTACCATGTTCGAATTTAAAACCCCAACTGGCAATGGCAAGGGTCCCTGATTTTTTGGAACCTGAATTAGAGCATAAATATTTATATTTATTATAAGTCTGTATATATTATTTTCATTCAAATTATATTAAATAATTATATTTTTTAAAAAATTAATTATTTATTATATATCACTAGTTTATTAAAATAAATATTCAACATCTAATTATTACATGTAACATGTAATCAATGCCTAACTTTTTCATTAATGTAAGAGCACATTTAATATTATTGTTGAAAATAATTTGAGTTTAAGCAATTTTTTATCCAAACGCAATATTAAATAATAAGTTTTTAGTTTAAAAGTTTAAGTTTTTAACCCAAACTAAAAACTGTTTTAAGAAGTATTTTTATGATAAAAAAATACGTTTAATATAAAAAATTATTTTATTATCTTTATATTCTAATATTTTATTATCTAATATATATATATATATTAGACATTTTAATTATTCATCATAATTTTTTATAAAAATATTATATACTTAAAATTTTTAACCACAATTTTTTTTTACCCTTTTTAAATGTATTTTTTTAATTAATTAAAACTCATTCTTTTTAACAAAAATTTTAATTTTAATATTATAAGTAATCTTTATTAAAAATAATATATAAATCACAATACATTTATTTTATATTAAATACAATACATGTTATCTTGATTTAAAATTAATAAACTTTAATATATTTTTTTACAAAAACAATAATCTGATTAAGTTTGAAATATTTAATGATATTTATAGACATTCTAGAATTTATTAAATTTTTATTAATATTAATATCGGAAATCACCTAAATTCGAATTGTACTTCATTTTGAACATTTTAAAGACTTTTTTGATATAATTAGGAGGATATCTACTCGAATGCTTCTACCATGATCAATTGAACTGAGTTAATTCAAGAGTTGTTATCATTTGCACCGATGAAGTAGTTCTTAATAACAACAATACGTTGATTGATGTAATAAAATTAAGAGTTAAGCTGTTCAACTTGTGTAGGGGGGAAAACTTGGAAAATGACCTTTTAAAGATCAGAACTCATTCTCTGAGAAATTAACCGCAAGGTCCCAGTAATGGGCCACTCCGGCATCAGCAAAAACCTTTTTTGCAGCAGCTTCAGTGATGCACTCATGAACAGAAAACTTGCTGAAACTTGATTTCGCAACGCTACCTTGCCAGACTAACACACACTTGTTAGGAGGTTTCTCTTCGTCTTCATCTCCGGCCTCGTCTTCTTTTACAGCTTCAGCCCAGCTGATTCGCCTAAGCATAAGCTTCCCATACCTCTTAATGGATTTGCTTCCACCTTCCACCACCACAACACTGATACCCTCAGATATAACAGTGCAACCAGTCAAACGGTTTTCTTGGGCATTAACATCAACTTTAAAGCGGGTCTTGGGATGTGAGAGGTCATTGATCCTGTAAACCGAAACAATAGTCTCTGCTGTATTTGGGTCGTCAAAAAGCTTTC